CGGGGTGACAGGAGCTGGGACAGCCCTCGGGAGGAGGTGAGACCCCCATTGCTGTCCCAGTGGGGTGACAGGAGCTGGGACCTGCCTGTGAGGGGTGAGCCCCCCCCCCAATCCCGAATCCCCCCCAGGCCCCCGTGTTCCTGCTGTTCCTGGACTGCACCTGGCAGCTCCTGTGGCAATTCCCGGCGGATTTTGGCTTCACTGAGGCTTTTCTCCTGGCGCTCCACGACAGCAGCTTCAGCCCCTACTTCAGCACTTTCCGCTTCAGCTGCCAACGCCAGCAGGGCCACAGCGGCACGGTGAGGGGCATTGCTGCACCCCCAAACTCTCCCATCTCACCCCTTCTCCATCCCCATTCCCAAACTGGGGACGGGCACCCCCAGATCTCCCATTTTACCCCTTTTTTCCCCCCGGCTCCGTGCCTCAGTTTCCCCATCCCAAAGAGGGGACTGACTTCCCAACCACTTCCCCCACAGCCGCGGCTCCCCAGCCAGATCTACCGACCCATGGGGGGCTGGCAGGACCCTGGGGGACACAGGGGAGGCCCCCAGCCCTGCAGCTTTCCCCCGGTGTGGGCCTGGGGCCGGCGCTACACCCGGCAGCAGCGGGAGCAGTTCCAGAACCCCGCGGGACCCCCGGGCCCTGCTGAGTCCCGGACCCCCAGCACGGTGAGTATGGCTGGCCTGGGGGGGGCTGCACCCTTCCTTTGCTTCCCTTTTTCCCTTAATCCCTATTTTTATCCCCTCCGTTTCCTCTTTCTTTCATCCCCTTTTATTTCCAAATCCTGTTTTTTCACCCCGCTTTTCCTCCCCCATTTTCCTTTCACCCCTTTTTGATTTTCCCTAATCCCCGCTCCCCCTTTGCCAGCCCGCAGACCCCTGCCCGTGGCGGGGTGCCAGCCTGGTGCTGACGCTGGCCAAGGGCTCCTTGTGCCCTCACCCCCTGCCCTGGTGGAGCCGCCCCCCCCTGCGCCCCCCATTGCGGGGGTCCCCCTCGGACAGCCAGGGGACACAGGGGGGGCTCCTGGGGACCTGCCAGCCCACCCCGGGGCTGCTCCTGCCCTGCACCGCCGGGCCCTGCGTCCGCCTCTGGCACCGCTGCTACCTCAGGGGGCTGCCCCAGGAACAGGTACTGGGGAAACTGAGGCACGGGGGAGGGCTGGAGACTGGGGGTGGTGGTTTGGGGGGGGTCCCAGTCTGGCTGGGGGGGAGGATGGAGCCAGTTTGTGTGCAGCTGGTGTCTGTGTGTCCATGGGGGTGGAGGGATGGATGGACGGATGGATGATGAATGATGGATGGATGGATGGATGATGGATGGACAGATGGACCCCATGTCCATCCATCCCATCTCGTCCATGTTCCCATCCTGTGCTGAACATCCTGCCCCGTGTTCCCATCCTCGTGTCCCTGTCCCATGATGAACACTGCACCTCTCCATGTCCTGCTCCCCGTGTCCTTGTCCCCACGCCGTGCCGGCCGCTCTCTCTGCAGCGCGGGCGCTTGGCCCCATCGCTGGCCGGGCTGGCTGAGGAGCTGCAGCTGCTCCAGGACCGTCTCCACACCTGGACCCTGCGGAGGCCGCACTGAGAGCCGGGGGCACCCGAGCCAGCCCAGCCCCGCTCGGGGGCTCTCAGCAGAGAGCTGCTCCAGCTGCTCCCGCCGCCTCCGCTTGCTCGGCGGTGCCGGGAAGGGCGAGCGGCGGCTCCCGAGGTGCCCCCGCTGCTGCACGGGCGCTGCGGGCTCTCGGTCCCCCATTAAATCTGTGCTGCCTCCATGAGGCTCCGGGAGCTCAGCGATGGGGATGGGATGGGGACGCTGCGGGAGCGCACACCTGGGACCTCCGCGCCGCTGGGATCATGGGGCACTGAGGGCACTGCTGGCCGTGTCGGGAGAGAAAGGCCATGTCGCGACAGAAGGGGTCCTGTCGCGACAGAACGAAGCGCGGCGGTCCCTGCCCGCACCCAAGATGGCGGCCGCGCCTTCCCCTCACGACGGCGCTTCCCGCCAACGCCGGGCTCGCGCCTTGACGTCACGCGCGGCGTGCGTGCGTGCGTGCGTGCGGCGCCGCGCGCGCGGAGCGGGGCAAGATGGCGGCGGGGCCGATCTCGGAGAGGAACCAGGGTGGGAGCGGCGGCAGCGGCCCGGGGGCACCGGGGCAGCGCTCTGGGGACGCCTGAGTGCACCGGGGCCGTGCGGGGTGCTGGCGAGGGCTCTGTGGGGAGTGGGGAGTCCTTGGAAGCGCTGGAGGGGGTTTTGGGCCGCGGGGGGATACGGAGGGAGGAGCAGGCGGAGCTCCGAGGCCACGGTGGGCTGGGGTTTTTCCCAAAGGAAAAAGAGGCTGTGGGGCTCCTGGATTAAGGGTGGCGAGGAGAGATTGGGGTTTGTGGGGGTTTTGGCTGGAGGGTTTTGAGTGGAGTGATTTTGAGTGGAGGGTTTTGAGGGAAGGGTTTTGGCTGAAGGTTTTGAGAGGAGGATCTTGACCGGAGGGTTTTGAGGGGACGATTTTGACCGGAGGGTTTTGCGGGGAGGATTTTGATGGGGGGGTTTTGAGGGGAGGATTTTGAATAGAGACTTTTGAGTGGAGGATTTTGACGGGAGGGTTTTGAGGGAAGGGTTTTGGCCGGAGGGTTTTGACCGGAGGGTTTTGAGGGGAGGGTTTTGGGTGACTCTGAGCGCGGGGGGTGGCGGGGTCCCGGCGCTGAGCCCCGTTCCTCGCAGATGCCACGGTGTACGTGGGGGGCCTGGACGAGAAGGTCAGCGAGCCCCTGCTCTGGGAGCTCTTCCTGCAGGCCGGGCCGGTGGTCAACACGCACATGCCCAAGGACCGGGTCACGGGCCAGCACCAGGGTGAGGGACCCCCAAAACGGCAACGAGGGGGGTGGGATTGTGGTGTGGGAGAGGGGGGGATCATCCTCTGTCCCTCAGGAGGTGTTGGTTTGCATGAAGTGGGGATTGAATCGAGTATGAGGTGGTATACAATAAAACCAAGGGGGTTTCAGTCGATAATTACATGGGGTTTTTAACGAGCTGGAGTTTTAAATCGGGGTGTGGGGAGTGGCTTTGTGCCCTGAAGTCATTTAGGGGTCTTGCCCCACCCCTGAGCTCCTTTGGGATCCCCCAGGCTACGGCTTCGTGGAGTTCCTGAGCGAGGAGGACGCCGACTACGCCATCAAGATCATGAACATGATCAAGCTCTACGGCAAACCCATCCGGGTGAACAAGGCCTCGGCCCACAACAAGAACCTGGACGTGGGCGCCAACATCTTCATCGGCAACCTGGACCCCGAGATCGACGAGAAGCTCCTCTACGACACCTTCAGCGCCTTCGGGGTCATCCTGCAGACCCCCAAGATCATGAGGGACCCCGACACGGGCAACTCCAAGGGTTACGCCTTCATCAACTTCGCCAGCTTCGACGCCTCCGACGCCGCCATCGAGGCCATGAACGGGCAGTACCTGTGCAACCGGCCCATCACCGTGTCCTACGCCTTCAAGAAGGACTCCAAGGGCGAGCGGCACGGCTCGGCGGCCGAGCGGCTGCTGGCGGCCCAGAACCCCCTGTCCCAGGCCGACCGGCCCCACCAGCTCTTCGCCGACGCGCCGCCGCCGCCCTCGGTGCCCGCGCCCGTGGTCACCGCGCTGGGGCCCGGCGTCACCCCGCCAGGTGGGTGCCACGGCTGCCCGGGGCGGGGCTCGAGGTGCTGGCGCGCGATCCCCGCCTCTTTCCTAAATTTTTAGGGTTTTTTTTTCCTCCTGGCCCATTTTCCAGCATGTGTATGGGGTGGGGCTCTTTCCCCGATTTTTTGGTTTTTTTTCCTCCTGGCCTATTTTCCAGCATCTTTATGAGGCAGGGCTCTTTCCCACATTTTTATGGGTTTTTTTCCTCCTGGCTCATTTTCCAGCCTCTGTATGGGGTGGGGCTTTTTCCCAGATTTTTAGGAATTTTTTCCCTCTTGGCTCACTTTCCAGCACATCTATGGGGCAGGGCTCTTTTCCAAATTTTGGGTTTTTTCCCTACTGGCCCATTTTCTAGCACCTGTATAGGGTGGGGCTTTTTCCCAAATTTTAGGGTTTTTTTTTCCTCCTGGCCCACTTTCCAGCACCTGTATGAGGCAGGGCTCTTTCCCAAATTTAGGGTATTTTTTCCTCCTGGCTCATTTTCCAGCACCTTTATGGGGCAGGGCTCTTTCCCAAATTTTGGGTTTTTTTTTCTCTTGGCTCACTCTCCATCAGTGTGCCCCACACCTGTATGGTATGGAGAGGGGCTGGGAACACAAACCCTGTGAGGAACAACTGAGGGAGTTGGGGATGTTCAGTCTGGAGAAAAGGAGACTCGGGAGTGACCCCATCACTTTACAACTTGTAAAATGGTTGGAGTCAGGTGGGCTTGGTCTCTTTTCTTCAGCAACTGACAGAACGAGAGGTTACGGTCTCAATCTGCCTGAAGGGAAGTACAGGCTGGATATCAGGAAAAGATTTTTTACAGAAAGAGTGATAAAGTTCTGGAGTGGCTGCCTGGGGAGGTGGTGGAGTCACCATCCCTGGAGGTGTTTAAAAAATGCCACTGAGTGCCATGGTTGAGCTGAGGCATTGGGGCTGGCTTGGATTTGATGATCTCGAAGTTCCATCTCTGATAATTCAGTGAATTCTGTGATTTCCCTCTGTGCCAGGCCTGCCTCCCCCCGGCTCCTTCCCTCCGCCGGTGCCGCCGCCGGGAGCGCTGCCCCCGGGGATGCCCCCGGCCATGCCCCCGCCGCCGATGCCCCCGGGCGCCGGAGCCCCGGGACCGCCCTCGGGAGCCGCCCCCGCCGGGGGACACCCCCCTCACCCGCACCCCTTCCCTCCGGGAGGGATGCACCACCCAGGTACGGGGCTGGGAGGGGCTGGGAGGGACCGGGAGAAGCTGGAAGGGACCGGGAGGAGGTGGAATGGGACCGGGAGGAGCTGGGAGGAGACCGGGAGGAGCTGGGAGGGTCCAGGAGGAGCTGGGAGGGGACAGGGAGGAGCTGGGAGGGGACATGGATCAGGATCTCCTCTTTTTGTCTTCCCTCCACCTCTCCTTTCCTCCCACTTCCTGCTGGACCTCTCAAACAATTCAAACGTCAGCGAGTTATTGAATTTCTGGGTCAGAACTAATTAGCTGACCGGTCCCTTTAAGTGTGGCATCCAGTAATTTTTTTGATAATTATCAAAATACTGGAGTTTAATCTGAGCGGGGGTTATGATTGTTGAAGGATCTGGGGAATTCAGGAGGTTGTTGCTGTCTGGGAGGCACCAGTTTTCCTTGAGTTGGGAAGGTGCAGGGACAGGGGAAGGAAGGAAGGAAGGCAGAGATGCAGAGAAGGAAGGCAGGAGCTGATTTTGGCATTAATAATTGAATGAAACCACTTTTTCCCCTGGTTTCCCCACTGTTTTGGCCCTGTGCTCCTGGGAAGGAGCTGTGTCTGCATCTCAGCTCTGTGTTCAAAAGCACAGATTTTGTGAAATGTGCAGTTTAATGATTCTCTGGGATTTGTTTTGATCTCGTAGCTCCAGAGCCACCCTAATTAGGGAGCTTTGTGTGATCCTGCTCTGGCCACGCCAGGAACAGATGCTGCAGGGCCTGAGCAGAGCCAATTACACCTGGCCAGGGAAAACCAGGCTCAGGAAGAAAGAGTCATTGGTTTATTTGGTGTTTTGGTGTTTAAATGGGTAAAAATGGGAGGAAAGGGGAGAAAATCAGGGCTGACAGTGGACTGCAAGGTGGAATGGGATAAAAACAGGGATAAAATGGGATCACTGGGAGAAAGGAAGTTTGGGGGGACCCTGGCTGCCCCAGTTGGAGCAGGGCAGCCTCCCACAGTTGTCCAAATTCTCCAGGGATGGGAATTCCTCACTGTGCCAGGGCTTCACACACTTCTCTTTTCCCACCCACTTGCATCCAAACCCTTTCCTCTTGCTTTAAACTCCGTGTTCCTTTCTCTTTAACCCCCTTTTTGGCAGCAGAAGCCCCCCTGCACTCACGATTTCCAGACCCAGCTGGAATTTTGAATCCTGGGGGGGCTTCCTGCCACCCCTAACTCCATCATCCCCCTAGGAATGCCACCCATGCAGGTGCACCACGGGCCACCTGGCATGGGGCAGCACCACCCAGGACCACCCGGCTCTGGGGGGCAGCCGCCCCCCCGGCCCCCCCCGGGCATGCCACACCCCGGACCCCCCCCCATGGGGCTCCCCCCACGGGGGCCACATTTCGGATCTCCAATGGGTGAGTGGGGTCTGTTTTTGGGGGGCTCTGCTCTGGGGGAGGAGGAGGGGATGAAGCAAGACCTGGGGGACCTGGCACCCCCCCAACTCTGGGGTCTTCACAGGGTGACCCCGCAGACCCCCCCCCGTGGGGATATCCACAGCTTTGGGATGGTTCTGGGGGTCCGTTGTGGGGGTCTTGGGAGCAATTCCTGGTTTTGGAGGAGCGTTTGCCAAGCTGGGGCTGGAGGGGGGCACCTGCTGGTTGTGGCACCCGTAGGTGGGGTGGGCACCTCCAGGGAAGTTTGGGGGTGGCTTTGGGCTGGTGGGCCGTGTTCCTGCAGCGGGTTTGGGGGGGCTCTGTCCTTTCCCCCTGGCACTGACCCCCCCTGTCCCCCACAGGTCACCCCGGGCCGCTGCCGCACCACGGGCTCCGCGGGCCCCCCCCGCTGATGCCACCCCACGGCTACAACGGGCCCCCCCGGCCCCCCCCCTACGGCTACCAGAGGGTCCCACTGCCCCCCCGGCCGGCGCAGAGACCCCCTGGAGTGCCCCCCCGCGGGCCCCTGCGGGGACCCCTGCCCTGAGAGCTGGGGGGCTCTCTGCTCCCCGTCCTCCCACGGCCCCTGCCACCAACATTCCCATCCCTGCAAAGGGCTGGGGGCCACCCCCCACTCCTCCCTTCCCTCCCCATTTTTTCCCCCGGTTTATTTTTATTGTGTTAATTTTTCTCCCTCTCTCCCCATCTCCTCCCGTTTGTCTTCCCCTGGAAGCTTTTCCAAGCTCCTTTTTATTGGATTTTGTTGGTTTTGTATGGAAAGCAGTGACCACCCACTTGAAAATAAAGGATTTGGGGAACCAGAAGAGTTTCTGGATTGGGGATGAGGCTCTGCTGAGATCTCTTCCCTGCTTGGGCCTTTGGGAAGAACCAGGCTGGAGGGATTTGGGACAGAGCTGATCCATGGTCTGATTCCTGCTCTCTTCAGCTGCTCCAGGAAATGTTTGGATTCCCGTTCTTGAGCTGCCCAAATCCAGGTTTGACTGTGGAATATTTTGGTGCCAATGTTTAGACAAAGTCAAACATTCCCCAGGGAAATCTTCAAGAGGCTTGGAGTCCACAAACCCCTTCTGCTGCCCCTGGGCAGTGCCAGAGCCTCCAGGAGCTGGGAGTTTGTGGGGGGACATGGAAGTGGGAATTTGCTGCTTGCTTCCTTCTTCATCCCACTGTTGTCTTCTTACAGCCAGGTGGGTCTGGATGGGATAGGAAGGGAAGGTTGGAACCCACTCCTGACCCTTCACATCCAGAAACGTGGGGAGAACCCCACAAGGATTGGTCGAGGGAGTGGATTTAGGTGTAAGGGGTGGGATTGTGTGGGGACAGGGGTTCCCTGTGGTGCTGAGAGCCAAGGGGCTGAAGAGATCTCCAGTATCCAGAGAATCCTGGGTGGGTGAGCCCCAGGGTGGCATTTCCCTGCTCCTCACTCATGGAAGCCACCAGGATCCCCCTGGAGCAGCAAATCTCCCTGCATGGACACAATCATCATCCCCTTTTCCCCTGGGGGTATCCAATGTCACCCCCACTTTTATCCCATCGTCCCTGGTGTTATCCTGTCATTCCCAGTTACATCCCACCTCCCCTTTCCTCCCATTTTATCCCTGTTTTTATCCCATCCCACCTTGCAGTCCACTGCCAGCCCAAATTTTCTCCCCTTTCCTCCCATTTTATCCCTGTTTTTATCCCATCCCACCTTGCAGTCCACTGCCAGCCCCGATTTTCTCCCCTTTCCTCCCATT